TGAGTGTATGACTTTCTATTAACACCTCTGGACTCATATAAGGAAGTATTCCACAAATTACTTGATCTGATTTTTTTCTATATTTGTTGGAATGGTAAGTCCAAAATCAGAAATTTGAATATACATGTTTTCAAGATGGATGCACAGACTTTACTTGAAGGTTAAAATAATCCAAGCTAAATGGTTTATTTATGTTCCCAAGTGTAACTAGGTTTTCAGTTATTCCATAACGTAAATAATAACACATAAGTAATGGTTCGTGATTGCAAAAGTGTTGTTAACAAATAGACACGTACAAACCATGTGATATGGTACGTATAATCATACATGTATAGTATCCCAAACTACTAAAGATAGTGAAATAAAGAGAAACAGATCTAGCATATACGAAGTTTACAAAATATTCGACGATATTTGGCTTTATTATCATATGGATTTGAATATTGAAAATTTTTATGATCAAGTTTTGCAATATTATATATTATCAACAAGTAACAACTCAAGGAGATGTTATAACACAATATTTAATTGGAGAATTATAAATATCGAGGTTTTGATAAGAAAACAAAAAAAAGCATTTAAAGTCAGCAGAGATTGGTTTTCTAAATTTACAATTTGCACTTGCTCTCCGTTATGCAGATGGAAAAGGCATAATCAAAGATGAAAAAAGCATTCGAATGGTATTTGAAAACAGCAGGGTCTGATAGTAGTAGAGACCAATTTAATTGAAATTTAGCTATAAAAGAGATGAAGAACTAAAAAAATAGAATATAAATTATTTAAACTTGTCATATAATTAGCAACTAATGGTAATTTTCCTTACAATTCCACTTGCTCAATATTATAAATATGGAGAAGGGAACAGGAAAAGTTGATAATGAAGCATTGGATTGGTATTTAAAAGCGGCAGAATCTGGTAATATTAGAGTACAATTAACATTGGGAAATTTTACCATTATGGAATAGGATTTCAAAAAATCCCGAAATGGGTTAAAATGTGTCAAAAAGCTGATCTGATCTAGCTTCCAAAATGTTAAATCTTTTAATTTTAAAGAGATTTATTCTAATTGGCAAATATTCATTTTGAAGATACATGTATAATACCCTCAAAAAGTATCGTCCAATGCAAAATTAAAAATAAAAATTGGAATCATTATTCAATTTATTTAATTCTTTTTAATTTATACATAAACTAAAAAATAAATTTATTTGATATTTAAGCAGCCCTCTATTTGACTTCAATACTATATTAATTTTTCATAATATTGATAATTTTTAGCTAAAAGTTCTTTATTTTAATATATATTTTTTTCAAATTCAAATTTTTTTAAAAATTATTCTAATTATATATAAAAGAAATGCATTAGAGCTAAATTTTTTAATAAAACATAGTAAAAATAGAAATTTTCTCTCTATATTAAAATTTATAATTTTATTAAGAAATAATTTTATATCAAAATAAAGTTCATTAGTTATAGTTTAATATATATTTTTTTAGATTTTTTCTGAAAAAGTTATTTTAATTATAAAGTTGGTACAAAAATTTTTATTAACTAAATTTCATTTTAATTAGTAAAAATTTTGTATTAACTTTATAATTAGAATAATTCTTTCAGAAAAAATCTAAAAAATCTGAAAAATATATATTAAACTATAATTAATAAACTTTATTTTAATATAAAAATAAAAATTATTTTTTAATAAAATTATAAATTTTAATATAGAGAGAAAATTTTAATTTTTACTATATTTTATTAATAAATTTAATTTCTGAATCATTATTTTTGATCACTATCATATATATCAATAAGTTATAAAAAATTAAAAACTAATTATACAAGAAATAATATCATAAATAATAATAAAAAAATAAATAAATTGAAATAAGTAATAATAATAATTAAAGATTATAAGAAAAAAGAATCTTAATATAATTAAAGAAGATAATAATAATAATAAATATAATAATTTTATAGATTTCTTTAAATATTCTTTAGTATTTAACTTTTTTAAGATTATAATAAATTAATTTTTTTATTTAAAAAATTATTAATTTAAATTATTCTTATATAATCTAGTTTTTTAATTTATATTTTATTAAAATATTTTTATTTTATATTTTTATATAAAATAGATATTTTTTTCTATATTTTATATAAATTTTTTTTATTATATTTTAACTTATAAATATTATTACTATTACTTAAAGTTATTATTACTACTCAAAATTACTAATACTATTTTGAAGATTTGCACAGATTTTTTTATCAATTATTATCAGATTTAAAATTTTGTACAGATTTTTAAATCTGAAGATTTTTGCAAAACTACATTATCTAATAGATGTTAAAATATATATTTCAAATTTAATAATATTTATTTTTCTTATTAATATACTATTAAGATGCAAAATTATTCAATTTTTTCTCAAATTATTTATAAATTTTAAAAGCCTAATATTTCAAAATTATATATAATAATATCAATTATTTTTTTAATACTTTATAATTACTATACTTGAAAAAGAAAATTAAATAATTATAAAGAGATATGATTATAGAGAGATTTTTTTACTAGAACTTTAGCTATTTTTTGAGCTAAAAATAAAAAATTTTTGTTAATAAAATTAAACCATGCATTTTACTAATTATAATTAAAAAATTCAAGTGTTATATTAATTATGATTTCCACTGTATATAATAAAAACATGTATTTTATTAATTATAATTAGTAAAAATTCAAGTATTATATTATTTTTGATTATTATTATAATTCTAATTATTAAATATTAAAATATTTAGTTTATATTAAAATTTGATATATAACAATTTTAAAAGTAAAATTATTATTAAATTTATTATATTAAATAAAATTTACTTAATAATATTTTTATATTATTTTAATTATTAAATATTTATTTGAAATGGCATTTCATAGACTTTCTAGATATCTTTCAGGCAAAAAGGATATCATGGATATAAGAACATAATATATTTAGTACAACTAGATTGATCAAAGTGAAAAATTTAAAGAAGAGGAATTCTTCATTGTACAATTATGAATGCAATCAAAATTCAAATGAGAAAATTTTCTCCTCTGTAATACTGTCGAAAAAAAGGCTTTTTATAAATGATGGTGAGTCAAGTTGCGCGTATAGCATTAGGTTACATAATGTGCAGATTATGCAATAGGATCTCCAATAAATGTAGTTTTGAACGCTCCTCCCGAGCGCCTAGTCTTGAGCTTTATTTGAACAGGATTAGTGGCATGCAAAAAGGAGACGGCACTTTTTTTAACCTATGTATTTTTTTTTCAAATATGAAATGAAAGCACCTGTCATATACTAATATCTGTTTGATGAAATTTTTGATATAGATATGTGGATAACAAATAAGTTAAAAAGAATAAAGATTCTCTCATATTAAAAAGTTTATCCGGGAGTTGAGTAGTGATCTCCCACGAATTTCAGAAGTTAAGCTCTCCAAAGAGAATTTCATACGTGGCAGTGAAAATACTAAGATTTTTTCGATTTGCATTTAAGAATTTCGAATGCCGAAGATACGCCGAAAGTAGTTCAAAATGTCCTACTTTTTTGAGCATCAAATAACAGCCCTAAAGTTGCCAATATGAAATTAGATTGTTAAATTGGCTTTTCCATATAAATAGATCCGGTACGACATCACGACAATTCAAACGAGTGACAAAAAAATAAAATTAGTATTCTAAATAATATCGGTAACCGAAAAAAATTTCGGCACATCGTGTTTTGAAGTAATATCGGTATGCCAATAATATGAAAAATATCGGTATGTTGTGGTGCCGTAAATCGGACACAATTTAGGCACACACCCCACAATATTCCCGGAAATATCAAAAATGAAACTATCATTTTGGAACCTAATATCTTATCTCATAATCCAGTGACCCCATTTAAATAAAGAAGATTCGTGGAGTCAGACAAATTTAATGGGAGTATTTTCATTTAAATTGGACCATTAGATTTTGAGATATTGGATTTGTTTTTAGGATTTCCAAAATTAGCGAATAGTTAATATATACATGATTTACATAACGATAAGTCATCACTATTACTATTGTTGTAACCCCTAAACGCAATACAATACGTGATATTTAAATATTGCCGTTTTTTTTGTCATAAAAATAATTTTTATGACGTCATTTTTGCAAACTTTTTAAACATAATAATAAAATTAATCTTTTTGACTTAAACTTGCTTAAATAAGATGAATATAAAGATTCAGATACTTATTTTATCAGATAAATAAAGAATAAAAATATATAAAAAAAATTCTTTTATAAAGAAGAGAAATGTCATTTTAAAAGGACATGTCATTTGTCAAAATCTAGTTTAATTTTCCATGTCATGTGCTGTACATGTATTTACATAAGGGAAACGATAATCATAGGATTTATCAATCGTCATAGGTGACAGTGACAATTCATCTAAAACAAAGGTATCATTAAATCGAACGTAATGAAGGAACAATAAGGTAACCCAGTTTATTTTATTGAATATCGTATTTTACTTCAAGTGTTAAGGCGTATCGCGATCCGATGATTAAAGAAAATGTTATAACGAAGAGAATTTGTTGGGATGAAGCAGTACAGTATTTGTGACTTTGATTAAAAATTCCCGGAATTTTTATTTCATCGATATATAAAAACAAATCAAATCTTTACAAAATTTACAAGTGTGCTATGTGACTACATGTATATATGAAAATCCCATCCCGTCATTCCAGATATGTAATGTAAATGCTATACATAAATCAAATAATAAAAAAACAAATGCTATACATAAATAAAAAAATTACTATACATAACAAAAATAGAATTGATAATAATACGATGCAGGGAACAGGGGAAAAAAGCAATAATTACAGATGGAAATAGAAATACGCTAAAGCATTTGATCGATCAAGTAGAAAGAAATTCAAAACCATAAAACGCGAAACCAGCTTCAGAATCCAGCAAACAAATCATCTTCCGCCAATCGAATCTTCTTTGCCCAGAATCGATGCGTTGTCGAGGCCACATTCGACTCATCGATTTCCCGGAATCCTCCATGCAACAATTTTTTATAATCTGAATCTTCAAGTCCTAACGAATTCGCGACCGTATCACCCAGACACTCAGCACCCCATTTCAAAAATTCCATGTTCACTTTGCCGATATTTCCACCCCACTTCCCAAGCGGTGCGGAGCGCTCGTCTTGATACACTATTGAGAATTGGCCGCATTGTTTGATAAGTTGTGGCATAATCGGACTTAAGATTGGTTCTATTCCTCGTTTTTTCTTTAGGAATTCGACAACTATTACATTATAAGCGAGATGAGATATTAATAACGTTGCAATTGATTGTAGGTAAAAAAAAATCAGAAATTGAGGGATATTAACTTTTCAGTCGTAAATTCTTTACGCGCGCTGGTTCATTATGCCAGACAATGTCACCTTCCATGATTTCTAGCCATCCATTGGGTTTCAAAACTCTTGCTAGTTCAGGTATCACTTTATCTTGCCAGTCTTCAAGTGTGAATACAAACATCATAAATCGACAATACACGAAGTCGAATGTGTTATCTAAATTTAGTTATTTTCTTATTATTTATTATTAAAATATTAATGAATTAATTTAGATTTCAGCATACCTTCAAAAGGCAATCCTTGAAAAATATCTGAATTAATAAAGCGTGTATTTGGTGGTTTAATTTCTTTTGGATATAACGCTGCAATATCGATTCCCGTGAACTGTGCTTCTTCATATTCTGTAGCATTTTCCAATATCCAGGTACCAGGCCCACATCTAAAAGTTCTCAACATCAATATGCTTCAATAAAATATCGAAAACTCACACATACATACACTTACCCAATATCTAAAACCTTAGTATTTCCTTTCCGCAATAATTCATCAACGGGCGCGGAAAAATTCGTGCCCCAAATCTCTCGATACAAGTAATGTCTCATTTGCATTAAAGCAACTTCATTCTCACTGACCGGGAACATATATTTCTGATGTCCATTTACGTCGAACGGCGCAACAATATCGAGTTCATCTTCACTCATTATTTGTTGTTTCCCTTTCGAAATTATTAAATTTTTTTTGTATGTTTTTTGTTTTGTCGGGATAATTGCAGCGTTTCTTATCAGAAAATCCACGAAACTTCGTCGTCGTTTATCGTTTGATACTGGTCTTGATTTTGAAGTTTCGTTACCCATTATCGTTATCTTTAATTGTTTTAAATTTAATTTTATTTAAAAAGAACCGTTTAAATGGACCAGATCTCTATTTATAAATAGCTAAAACCAGGATTTGATTCATCCACACTTTCATTTACGAACTATTCACCCACATCATCATATCGATATCATTTATAACTTTTGTCCGGCATATATTACTATTTATGGTTCCGATCAGCCCGATAAATGGTGATTTTGTAAGCATATGCAATTATTGATCGTCTATTGAAACCACCTGAATCATCGTCGTTATCATGTTATTATTTTTTTATTTTCCATGTGTGGGGAATAACACACACTAATGAAATTTGAAGATCAGAAGCGCATCACGCATGCCTGAGACGCGCGCGAAATTATTTATCAAGGCATATACGTTTCGGGTGGAAATTTTAATAGGCCTCTGTTATTCTTTTATCCAGGAAAATAAAATTTATATTTATGTGTAAAAATTATCTTAAAGCTTAAGATGATCTCTGTTCGATTATAAAACGTCATCGTTATTTCTGTGTTGCAAACAAGTGCCATTGAATTACGCCAAAATCACATTGCATGTTATAGTGTTCTTTTTTTGGATTTTTTGCGTAACATTTCAGTAAATTCGACTTTGATAGACAAGCCTGTTCATGTGCCGCTGACGTTAATGTTGATATATATATATATATCAAAGTTTCAATTTGAAAATCCCTGTAGTATCAATATGAAATTCTTTTTCGAATTTTTTGTCGACCAGGGTTACCAAACCATCAAAACCTTGAAGATCCAGTTGCACTGTTTTTCTTTATAAAACGGGGTGGGAAAATATCATGATAACGATAATACGAAAGCTTTTGAATTTTTTAGGAAATCAGCAGCGCCTGGGAAATGTGGTATTACGGAATCAGAACAGCAAAAGATGAGAAAGAAGCATTCGAACTCTGGAAATGCACAAGCAAAACTTAATCTTGCGATGTGCTAGGAATTCGGAAAAAAAATTTGGCGAAAACATTGGATTTATTAGAAAACAACGAAAGTCGGAGTCCTCAAGTTATGCTTCACCTGCTCAATATTATCAGTACTGAAAAAGATTAAGAGAAACTGATTTTTGATAATGATATACAGTACTATCCTTAATATATCATGTTTGTACTGGGAAACTTTGCAAGATGATTGTACATTTAATTGATGTTAGAGGCACTAGAATTTTTTTTCGTGTTCCGTTCCGTTCTTTAGTTCATCAATCTGACTACATGTATATCGATAAGACGCAATGATTTACAAGTATCGGTGTGTGTTCTTTTGATTGGTTAAATTACGCCTTATAAATTGTTCCAAAACTCCCTTGAATTATGATACTGGGTCAAAATTAGAATTTCTGGCTAAACTTAGCAGTAGGAAATAAATTTTAATTTAATCGTATTATCGCTATAGGTATGCGCATATTCTTTAATTTATCCATTTGTTAAATATTCCCTGGTTGGTGTAATTAATTGAAGTTCTCTGTTTAAGCTTGCATTAAACATAAATACATCTAAAAAATAAACGAATGTATCCTTTTTTAAAGTATCTAATACTTAATACTTCTTTCGGCATACTTTCAATTAAATTAACATACACGCTAACTGACATTTTATTCCATTCTTCATGAAATTCCGTGTTTTTTGGATTCTTAACAAATTACTAATGATTTTCCTAACCAACTATTGTACTCGTCGAGGATTTTCTCATTACGAAACAATAAAAGGTGCAATCAACAAAAATTGACTAACGCATAACACATTTCACATTTAGCAAATTCCGATTGCACATTACATGTACTTGTAGCTGTAAACTGTAGATATCTTTTAAAAACTATATAACTAATTATTATGTGGAATGTTTTAAAAACATAAATCCCAATTCCGGAACCTTTTGGCAAGATGATTGTACTGGTTCCTATACTCATTTTAAAGCTAATAACCTTGAGAACGTCTAAAAAAGCCTAAAAAATAAACAGTATTATAACTGTAATTTCTGCTTTGGGAACTTTAGTGAAATACATGAATATTTTTAGTTAGTGAAATTTCAACTCAACATATTTTTGTTTTCAGGAAATACTAAGGTTCTTGACGGGAACTATTTAATACCAATTTTCAGCTAAAGTGGTATCAAATTCGCAGAGTTATTAGGCAAATTAATAAATCAACTTTTTTTATTATCGTTATGATAATCTAACGGATTTGTTACCAATTTAGCAGAAAATTGGTAGTAGATATTTTTCAACAAGAAGCATATTTTTTATTAAGTAAATACTCTTCAGAATGACCTGAAAACAAAATATTTAGAGTTAAAATTTCACTAATAAAAAATATCCATATAATTCACTTAAATGAGTAGATGAACCAGGTCAGGTATCTTTAATCGATACTAAAATTTTTTCATAAAACTTTCGTGTCCAGTTTCTTTAGTGAGTCACTGTCTATAAAAACGTACGACACGCCAGGTTTACTAATATATGGCCCAAAAGTTCTAGGTCAATGCGGTCGTTTGTTGAGACTTTGACTGTAATTTAAATCAAATTAAATTAGTGTAAAAACAAGGTAAAGAAGATGTCTTTTTCTTTATTCGATTAAGCAAAAGTAATATGATTTGTGTAATATGACTTTGCGGCAGCCATTTAATGAGTGAAATCATGGAAAAATATCTTGTATCGGTATACAATATTTTATAAACGGGTATGACCGAAGCTATTGGATGATGCAGCTTGTTATTGCCATAATATTTCCGAAAACAGGCAGACTGCTTCGGAACTTACCATTCTCTACTGTCCAGGCAACGACAATCTGATTAATTTGCTGTTTAAACACATGAAAAACTAAGAGTATCTTGGATTAGAAATGCGAATTTGAAATTGCAAAAGGTATCCCTATAAATGTAATTTACATAATTCGAACCTTTACTAGAAGATTAATCTAAATTCCAAATAATATTGATGCTCGATATGATTATGTCACCGACGCGCTAAATCTAACTTTCAACCTAACGTGAGATAATGAAAATAGTGGGCGCTTATTATTTTGGAGAATTTTGATCCAGCTGGCGTTATTTGATTGTAGCTTGAATTATTGGGTGGAATAAATATCTTATTTGCTTAAACCGAATTATTTGCAAGACTCGAAGGTACCTCTTAAACCAGCAAATTTGTATGTTAAAATATTTTTTGACTATTTTTGTACAATTTTCTAAGTTAAAATAAAAGTATAGCATATAATTAATTAATATAATCTAAGATTTGTAATTTAATTTATTTTTATTAAAAATATATAACCATATTATAGTCAATTCCAAATTTTATTATAAAAACTTTATATAATATTCCAAAGAAGAATTTCTTTATTACTAATTAAAGATAAAATTTTATTAATAAATTCACAAAAACTGTTATTTTTTGTAATAATTAAAAAATAAAAATAATTATTATATAACATATATTTATAAAAAATTTAGAATAGATAAAATATGGTTTTATAATATTTCAGCAGGCAAATTTATCTATTAAATTTAATGATTTAAGAGATAATAAATTTCTACTATTAATTCTAAATTTTAATTAAATAAATAATCATAATAAGAAATTTTGAAAAGTTAATCACAATTTAAATAATGAACTGAAATTTTATAATAAAATTAAAACTTTTAATATTATAAAATAATTTATTATATTATTATATACAGTGTGTAACAAAAAAAACCAGTTATTTTATTTTTGGTTATATTCAATGAATATTTATTTAATTCATATAAAATTTTAAATATATATGCTTGATAACCTA